TCCTTTTTCCAAGTTTTGATGTGGGTTTGTATTGCATTCTGATTATCATCTTGAACCTTATATCCTTGGTCCAAGCAATGACCCAAATATGTCCCCTGCTATATCTTAGACATTTCATCTATGAACCTTTTCCCTCAATTATGTTTTGGTTTTCAACTTATGAGATATCCGAAATACCGGTGAATGACTATGATATAATAGCATTTGATGGATGCTTTATGAAATTGTTATCCGTTCCACCCTGCTATAAGTGATGTTAAGTTGATTCTTGTCTATCATCCTGATTCAGAAAATTGCTGAAGTTGTGGAGGCTTCTATTGAAGATTATGAGGAAGGCATGAAAGCTTGCAGTGAAGCCGCAAAGTTATGGATACAGGTATGATTTTATATGCTTCTTGACTTCATGAATTTCATGGGTATTATAATACTTGAAGCATAACTTGCTAGCTTAATATCTGTTTTATTTTTCACATACCATATAGGTTCCTGCCCCAAAGAGAGGTGATATTGTAAGACAAATAGGTGACGCGTTGAGAGAAAAACTCCACCAACTTGGTCGCCTTGTTTCACTTGAAATGGGAAAAATTCTTCCTGAAGGCCTTGGCGAAGTTCAGGTATTGTTCATCTCAGAATAGGTCAGTTCGGTCAAAGCATACATATGTCTCTGCCACAAGTTTTTGTGCTCTTACTTGTAACAATTTCTTGAAAACCTGTCTGTAAGAAGAATTAACTTTTTCTTGTAGATTTAGTTCGGCTGATTACTTATGTGTTACTTACTGGAAAGTTTTAGCTGGGATTGATGTAATTGAAAGGGTTTTGTCATCCACTCTCCAGGAGCTTGTCTATCACATCAACAATCTATATAGCAATCTTTGGTCACTTGTCTGTCTTTTGTTTGAGAATCTATGCTATTTAAATAACATACTTGACAAAAATAACCTATTGCGTCATTGTCTTACACACCCTTGATATGTAAATATGGCTTGCCGTGCCAACACAGAAGCCCAAATCCTCAGTCTGCCATTTTATCTCTTTGGAAAGTTTCCGTGATTGTATTTGGTCTGAATTATCTCAACAGTTAGTAATCACTCTGGTACTGCAATTGTTTAGGCTTTCTAACTCAAACGAACACTAACTCTTGCAGGAAATTATCGACATGTGTGACTTTTCTGTGGGATTAAGTCGGCAACTGAATGGATCAGTAATACCTTCGGAACGTAAGTTTTAGTTCTTGTAGTCTATTTCTATGCGCTGTTTTGAAAAAAGGGCTTTTCAGGAAAGAGAATCTGTTTGTGTTGTTCTTTGGTCAAGGCTTTCCAATTCAATCAAACTGTCAACTTTGGGATTAAATATATTTCCTTACCCCCTCCAAATTCCTATTAAGTTAATTATGAGTAATTATGTTTGTAATTCTTGTCTACAGGTCCAAATCATATGATGTTAGAGTGTGTTACATGTTTATACTTTTGTACTAGATCACACTTATCTTCTATCTT